ATGTTTGTGCGCAATTATCTAGTGATTGGCAGAACCCCATTTGGTACGGTTTTCAGAAAAGCGTTTATTACACTTAGGAGAAGGTTTAATAAATTAACCGACTTACACCAGACGGAGATGAAGTCGATTTCTTTAAATATAGTTTATAAAAGAATTATTCATCATCAACAGCATATAAAGCTTACTGCTGAGCAAAGCCTCTTCTCACACAGATTAGGTTAGAGCAATAATCACCACGCTTACTCAATGCGGGTTGGTGATTACAAAGTTATAATTAGAAATTATAAGTCCAGGTCTCCTCACGATGTTTTCCTTCACCATTTGTCAGTGGTATCTAAATAATCTTAGAATCTTAGAAAGTGCATATAACTCGGAAAAAGTCACATTGGTACTTGCTGTTGGTAGGTTTTGAACCCGCACCCTCATGCATGAGCGGGCGTCTTAAACCTCCGGGCCACCACGACACAAAATAATTATTAAAACCTAAAAACTCATAGTACATAACTAACAGTTACTTATAAGCTGACAACCCTAACCACACAAGGCCTCCCACCCAAGGACCTAGTGATATATGTATTGTATTGTACCCGACTGTAGCTAAAAGGGAGGTGCTGTGTTCAACTAGATGAATTTGCTTTGTATTAGAGTGGAGTTATTAGCAACAGCAATATACTGAGATGTAAGAGGGAATTAGTGAAACAATTTCCAAAATGCTGTGATAAATTCGACTTTATTGTAGTGTGTATTAGGTTATAAATAACTACTTAGGTGATATGTGTTCATAGTCAAAGTCAAAAGTCAAAGTCAAAATCATTTATTTCAATTAGACCAGAAAGGCACTTTTGAATGTCAACAATAAAATTAGAAGTGAAGCTATTTGCTCATTCCAAGGTGTAGATTTCTATGGAGAAGAACGAGCAAGAAACTCCATAGGTTACTCCTTTTCAATCAGGTTCACAATACAATTCTCTAGTTACATAGTTTGCTGTTTGGATTGTGCGAGAACAATGTAACACTAAAATCTAGTCAAAGTGACTGAAATGTCAGTGGTATATTTATGTAGACATGCGTCCAACATCGTAATGTATGAAGTGTAATGACGAGCCATGTCAAGCGACAGTTGTTCTTCGTGTCAATGTGTGTGTATTTTGCGTGTAAGTCTATAGTAGCCAAGTGCCTCAGTCGTTGTTTTAAGAGACTATATCCGCTTTTTTCAACCTCCTTGGGATAGACAAAATAGTTCACTCAAATGTAGGTCATATTGTACATTTTATTGTAGAAAAATATTCATACCTGCTGCTTTTCAAACCGATAGATAGAGCCATAAGCCGTACCGTTTTTTTTTAACAAATCGTAACTAAAGTTTAATTAACTCCACAAAATGTAGTAGAAGCTAGTTAAAAAATATTTACAATCAATTCTAGACTATAAATGTATCTATACACTATTAACATGTTAGGCACAATCCCACAGACAATGATTAAACTAATAAGACAGCGCGTAAATTAATGTTAATCAAAACCTCCAACTAATTTAGTACAAGCATTCTATTTATTAGAGACTCCACGTCGTATGATCTTTACACACAGATATTGAACTCTACTCTTTGGTAATAAAGAGGGAAAAGCGACTACACGTTGTGAACTTTGCATACAGACGCACATCGATATACACCTTTCTATCTCTAATAGATTCTGAACTTTAACGTTTTGTGATAAGGTCGAAAACGTATTTAAGGTGGTGGATGTTGACGTGCGGTGTATATGTCTCGTCTAATGAAAGCCTGTACTGAAGCACCAGCTTGCATGCCTAATGAAACCTAGAACTAGGCACATTAATTCTGTTTGAACTTAAAACTATGGTCTAAGTTTTGTTTCTAGAACGTTCGTGGCTTTCAAAATTGTTGTTTTAGATAATTTTATACTATACGGTTACAGTGTAGTTTTGTAATATGAGTACACAGGTGTTCAGGGTATGTCGTCTGTTTTGTGAAGAATTGGACATAGATAATGATAATGTAATTAGAAATAGGTTTGACAAAATAAGGAGGTTCTTATTGTATCTACATTCACTTGAAGTACCTAGAAATGTGAAATGAAGTATGTTGGTCTGTTACGGATTTATATTGTGCGAATAATCGAATAATTATGTTATCAAATGCCATGAACATATTCTACATATTCTATATATTCTATTATACATTCACAATAATGTTACCAATGAATATTCTAAAAGTGTTTTCAATATAACACTTTCACTGGTGTTTACCAAGCCCAAAACATCTACCAACATCGATAACATCAAAATTTTATCCAATTTGATGTAAAATCAAATGCACACATCTCCGAAAACCGCTCTAATATAATAACTTTTCGGAAACTATTAAAACAGCAATATATCATTCATGACGGGGACAAATTAGATTCAACTAAAACTTCAATAATAAATTAATAGTATACTCATAACTAATTGTTCCCCCTCCTTCCACTCCCATCACTTGCATCGTACCAACCAACTCTCCACCCTGACGCTTTGATAACAAAGTTGAAATTAATCTGTCAAAATCCTGGGGAGCATAATGAGGTTGAAACTAGATACACACGTTTCGGCGCAGGTGTAATTTATTGCTTTACCCGGTTATTATATGGAATACCCATCATAATTCCATGTTGAGTGGCTACGTGAATGGATTAACGAGTTTTTGAGGTTCATTTTGTATGTTTTATATTGGCACACTGGAGGTAATTTAAGCTGTATGAATATATGAGCTGCTTTTATATAATTTAAGATTAAGAACAACAAAATTGTTGGTTCAATTATAGAGGTAATTTAGTTTTTTCCAAAAAGTTAACAAATGACTGCCCTCATTGGCCGACTGGTCGCAAGTGCAACTGCCGGGCAAGAATTACTGGGTTTTTAAAAAAAATCTCAGTAATGGCACGGAGTCTGGAATTGTGCCCGGTATATGGCAATAGGCTCACCCCCTATTACATGGGACACATAACATAAATAGTGAAAAGTGGGTGTGCGTGATGTTATGTTTACAAATGATAGGTAATTAGTAATCACTTTAGCAGTCAACAATTCTGTCTAAGACTTAAACACGGGACTGAGAATTGATTTAAAACTTCGATTACAATTAAATATCGATGACCAACAAACGAAATTCGATTTAACACGAATATAACAGTCTCCCTCCGAAAAACATACAATAGAACCCAGCTGCATATTTACAAGCTATTCTTTGGACTGCGTTTGTTTCTGCACCCGCAGGTGCTAACTAGTAAACTACACGTAGGCAGGGTGGGGAAACATACTAAATACAAGTTCATGCACATACAACCAACATAGGTAGGTCCTAAAAACAGGTGAATGATCCTTTTCCTGCCTTCCTTTGCAAATAATGTGTGTTTTAATTTTGCATTTCGTAAAAAGGGATTTTGAAATTTAGATTTTCTAAAGAATTTTGGTTGCTCTACGTTTTGTTTTTGATGTACCTAAGGTGTTATTGAAAAATGAACTTTCTGGAGTTAGAAATACAGTAGTAGTTTGTCTGACTCGTTGGTAACACGATGTTGAGTTGTTTGCTTTTGGCTTTTTAAAAATAGTCTTTAGTTTCACAGCACGAACGTTGAAGTGTCTTATGGCAGGTCTAGCAATACAATATGGAATAAGTAATTGAATTAAATTTATTTCATAACATAAAATTTTAAACTTTCAACAGTAGTACAATATATCACTTTTATAAGATGCTTTTAAATTAAAGATTTTTTTCGATTTAACTTTTTTTATTGATCACCAGTCAATTCATAATAAAGAAGTAAAATGTTTTTTTCAATTAATTCAATACATAATTATGAATAACTACATTATACAACTTAAAAAAAAAGAATAAAAAAAAATAAGTTGGCTTTACAGAAATAGTACGATACAATCGCCTATTATCCTTTGACTCACATTTTAATTACTAGACAAAGTTACTATATTTATATGCTTTTCCTTTTATGATATTATTAGAATAGGTATATTTTAAGAATACGCAGATCCTTGTAATTACTCTGAATAGCTCCTATGGGAAATACTTGGGGAATGTAATGACTTCTCCTGCCTTATTTATTTGGCTTCGCGCATCTATTATGTAACAATAATTGTCTTGTGTACAATATTGCAACTAACTGAACCTATAATTATTATTATCGAATTGGGTTCATTATGAATTTACTACTTACTTTGTTAAAGACCTGACGCTTAAAAATACATGTACCTACACGATTGATTATTTTCATTTTTTTTCTTTGATATGTGGTCACTGCTACTTCACTTGCTTTTTGAGAATTTTTCTAAAACCGGGTAATCCCCAGTAGCCAGCAGTTCAACCAAATCAATCAACATTTTCAAATCAAATCAAATCAAGATTTTTTACTCTATCAATTAGAGGTAGAAAATCCAATGATAAAAATTGACACGTCGATGTAGCTTGATGTGCTGACGACTGTACGAATCAGACACTTCTTACTCTGAAGTCGCCAACCAAGGAGGTAGAAAATTAATTTGTGATACAAAAAACAAACATTGCAAAAAAACAACTATTAAAGTTTCCTTTCCTTACAAATCTACGCTTACGAAACTGTTCAAGGAATTTTCGAATAAATTGCTTGACTTGTTGACAAAATCGCGCGAAGGGTCCAATTGAAATAAATGATTTGAGTTTTGTTTGCTAGGAGCTGTCAGCAGCCCCCAAACTTAGGCAGTTTGTGTTCAATCTTCAATCCAAAACATTTAGGACAAGATTGACAAGTGATATAAATATTTTGATAGAGAAAATATAAATATTTTGTAAAGAAATATAGTCTTAATGTGTCATGGTAGCTATAACGTAAAACGTAAATATTGTTTGAAGAGCAATAGCCGATACATCTATAGAGATTTACACACCAGTTCAAATTAATCCATTTTTCTATTTCTGAAATTGATGCATAGTAATAAATACTAAAACTCACCCTAGCGCGTGACCTTGTGCCCTGCTGGTAGTCGTAACCTCTGCCCTGTAAAATAAGAAAAAAGTATCGATTAATATTTTTATCACTCACAGATATAAATAAGAGTAAAAATGACAGTCCTATAGAAGGAATAGAAAAACTTAAAATAGCCACCAATGTACTAACTGATCCAAAGAGCATAGCTCAAACGCTGAATGACTATTTTATTGACGAAATTGAATCTCAATCTGACACAAATAAGTTTAATAATTTAGCTTATAAAATTGATATGCATTATGACTCCATATTCTTGACTCCAACAGTTCCCAATGACATTATAAATAAATCATTAAATAATACAAGCAGCTCTGGCTATGATGAGATCATAACAAGTGTAATTAAAAGTGTATCTCCCATTGTCTCACCAGTACTTAGTTATATTATTAATTTGTGTTTTGAAACAGCTGTATTTCCAGACAGACTAAAACTGGCAGTTATTAAGCCTATATTTAAAAAAGGTAGCAAACAGGACCCATCTAACTATCGTCCTATTGCATTGCTTCCAATTTTTTCCAAAATATTAGAAAAAGTCATCTATAATAAAATATACTCATTCTTTGAAAATAAAAATCTTTTTGTAGATGAACAATATGGCTTTAGGAGAAAAAAGAACATAAACTTAGCAATTCTACAATTATATGAAAAAATTATCATGAGTGAGATGAGAGAATCCGGTGGCTGCTCTATTCATGGATATGAGCAAGGCGTTTGATTTTGTAGATCGCACAATATTAATTAATAAAATGGAACGATATGGAGTGAGGGGTAATGCCCTCAACCTTATTAAATCATATCTATCAAATAGAAAACAGATTACACAAATAAATAAAATTAACAGTAACACTAAAATTGAGCAAAAATATACTTCTAATCAGAGACAAAATAACTATGGAGTCCCACAAGGCAGCATTATGGGATCCCTCTTATTTATCATTTATATTAATGACATGCCTAAGATAACAGGTCATCCAATGGTCCTGTTTGCAGATGACAGCACAGTGATCTTCAGTACAAATAATAATGACTTAACACTTGAAACAGAGATAAATCAATGCTTAGGATCATTAATAGAATGGATGACCGAAAATAATTTAAAAATAAACATTGACAAGACTAAAATAATGACATTTGAACAAAAAACTAATCACAATAAACTTGACATTAGATACAAAGACAAAATAATTGCAGAAACAGTATCCACGAAATTCCTAGGAATAGAACTAGACAGAGACATGTCATGGCGAACTCACACAAATACCATATGTAAGCGACTGAATAAGCAGTCATACGCCCTATACAAACTCGCAAAAGAAGTAAACCAGAGTATTGTCATCACGGCGTATCATGCATGTGTAACATCGATATTACGATATGGTATTATTTTCTGGGGTAACTCCTCGAATACAGACATAGTATTTAAAGCACAAAAGAGATGTGTTAGGGCAATATGCGGTATTCAAACAACAGACAGTTGTAAACCGTATTTTGAGAAATTACGTATATTAACATTACCATGTCTGTACATATATGAGGTAGCAATGTTTGTGAAAGGGAACCCTAGACTATTTGAAACATTAAAAAGCGCGCGTAACAAAAATAAAATCCGTTATAGACAACACAAGAAAGCAATCTTCCACAAGAGCTTTTTAGGGATGGCACCATCGATATATAACAGACTACCTAAACATTTACTCGAAACCAGGGAAATCAATGTGTTTAAAGTAGAACTGAATAAATTTCTTGTAAAAAAGGCATACTATTCGTAAAAGAATATTTAACAAACATTGTCATAATATGACTACAGAAATATTGACATATTGTTATTGTTATTGAACTTTTATTTCTTGACATTGATTAATATTGTATAATTATGACTTACCTATTTGATATTTGTATTTTTCTTTAATCATTTTTAAGTATGTTGTATAATTATTTTAGTTTAGTATTTTGACAATATACGTTTTGACATATTGACATTCTATTTAGCATTTAAACATTATATGAAATATTTTAACACTTTGATGGAAATAACACTGATACTTCTATTTACTGTCATGTACCAAGCAAAATCATAGATGTGTGATTGAATCAATTTACTTGGCATTATTGTAATTACTAGTTTTTTTTTTTTTTTTTTTAAATTTATTCTATAAAGCATGATTAACATAATATTTCTACACCAGTAATGGTAGTGTATGTGAAACAATATTTAATGTAAAACCTCAATGTACCATATACTTGGAAATAAATGACATTCTATTCTATTCTATTCTATTCTATATATGACAGTTAGATTATTAGAAAGTTAAAAATTTGATCATTCTCAAAATTGAATGAATTTCTCAGTATGAGAAGATCTTAGTCTTGATTATTGATTAGCCTTTCATCTGTCTTCTCCAGAAAATAATCATTATATACTCTTATTCTTATATTGACTTGAAGTGACTCTTTAAGACTGTCCCGTTGGCCGAGTGGTCGCAAGTACGACTACCGGTCAAGAGGTCTTGGGTTCGATTCCTGGGTCGGCCAAAGTATTACTGGGTTTAAAAAAAAATCTCAGTAGTAGCACGGAGTCTGGAATTGTGCCCGGTATATGGCAATAGGCTCACCCCCTATTACATTACCCTCTATATACATAAATAGTGAAAACTGGGTGTTACATTGTACAGTGGCATAATGTGCACCTCTGCCTACCCCTTCGAGGATAAAAGCGCGATGTTATGTTATGACTCTTCAACTCAAAAATACTTAGAAGTAAGAATCGCATGACAAATTCTTAACATATTCAATTACCAAAGAAAATACGTCAAAGGTGATTTTCAAGATCACAAAATTCGTAATCCAAGTAATTAGTCTCCACCTAAGCATTACAAGTTACAAGAATATTACATTTCAAACAAACATAGAAACGAACACATTCTTAAGGTTTCTATATAACAATTAGAAGATGGCAATCTGAGTACGGATGATGAGTAAAAAGGTTTATGTCTCTCTGATAGTTTAAAAGATAAAGATAAAGATAAAGATGTATTTATTTCTAAGTACATGGTACACTGAGATCTTACATTAAACATAGAAACACATATACTACCATTTCTGGTGTAGAAATATTAAATAAGCTAAGTCCATGCAAATCTTAGACATTACAATAATCTTCATTTGATACAATTTATTAATTAAAAAAAACAATAATACATTTTTCGTCCAAATTGTTATGTCAAAAAATAAATACCAAACAGAATAAAAAAGAAAGAAAATATATGTCATAGTCATTTAATTAATTGGATACCAATACTTCTTCTATTTTTATCACCGTCATCGTCATATTAGCTATAGGACGTCCATTTCTGAACGTTGGCGTCCCCAATGACTTCCAAATGGATCCGTTAGAAGCAGTTTCCATTATATGCAATAAAAACCTTTAAGGCAATAATTTATTTTGATTTAAAATATCGCTTAATGACATTGTCTTTGCATTGTTAACTAACGCATAGCAAGGTGTCACCCTAAACTTTATTTCGTTTTTTTTTTCTATTGTTTAATTTTTTTTTTATTTTAAGTTTAAGGAGTCTGGAATTGTGCCCGATATATGGCAATAGGCTCACCCCCTATTACATGGGACTCATAACATAAATAGTGGAAAGTTGGTGTTACATTATTACAATGTACACCTCTGCCTTCGGGTATAAAAGGCGTGATGTTATGTATGTTTATTTTCACAATAGAAAAAATGACGATCGGAATATTTTTTTTATTTGCATACCCTCTCCTCATCCCTATCATAACCAGCTGAAATCTTCAGACATAAACACGTAAATTGGAACTGTGAAAGTACTTCAGTGAGGTTATATATTGTACAAACTAGTTCGCTATAAGCCACGTAATCCAGAATAGAGCCTACTTCGACACGTGACCGCTGAGTTATGGTTACGTTTCAATCTAACATTTGTTTATCTTCAACCTTCTTGTTTATAAAGGTATAAGCTGTTGTGTAACTATTTTGATTGTGTTTGGATGATTTATTGATTAATTTTCCTGTTGAATGATACTGAACTAGATCTTTGTTTTAGTCTCTAATATGTGGTAGATGTGAAGGCGTGGAATATTAGTCAAGTTATAAATAGAGAGTGGAAATCGTTTATTTGGAAAAAAAAACTTAAACTGTATAAAATATCAACACAAAACTTTGAAAGGACTTTACTCTTTCTAACATTCATAACACAAAGATCGAGTTACGAAAGTAATAAAAATAATTAAAAGTACATAACATTTTAACTAATTCACCCTGACCACTGAAATATTAAAACCCTTTTAAGCGCTTACAGGAACCCATCGAGTTATGGACCTTCTGAGATTACACAGTTAAAAAACTTTAGAAAACCAGTAAAATTGAGTAATATAAACAAGTTAAGATTGTGGTGTAGTAACTGTCTTGTAAGATGGTGGTCTAATGCAATTTGCATGGAGTCGGCAACTTTGAGCCGTAAACAGGGGGGCCACCGCAGGCCTTAACACGTTTTCTGAACTTTAAATTGATTCTGTATTTTACTGTTGCCTTCTCGGTACAAAATCTGTGGAACTGGTTACGTTTAAGCAGTCAGTTTACTGTGATGAAGGTGTTTGAGATTTATAGCCTTTTTTCGGGGAGAGCTTCAAGACTTTTTTGGGTGTATTGAATGTTGGGTTTTGTTTTTGTGTTCAGTGTTTGTGTTCAGTTTAGAAATGAGGAATGGTATTCGTTAATAAGATGGTAGCGGTTTTACGAATCTTTTGGAGTATACTATATTGGAACAATTTGTAATCTATTTGAAGTACAATAGAATAAATAGTGATCTACAAATAACTGTATTTTTAATTATCTTTTCTATGGTAAAAGACGAGAGCATAGTAGATATTATGATAAAAAATATTCTTTTGTATATTAACATTGCCATTCGTAACTTCGCAATGTCGTTTCTTATTTCCAAGTGAACATTTAAAAAGACATTCAAGAAACATCTAGAACT